AGCATGTGTGAACCGACTGTTAGAAAAGTTCTATGTTGTTCACGCTTTGTCGACTAAACTGTGAGCATTGCAGCTCTCATGGCTGATTTTGAATAGAGGCCATCTCAGCTGTCATTTATGGAGACATCTCTGTGCGCTTGCTGCTCCTTTCTCAAGTCATCTTAATGCAATGTGTAAACACACAGGGGGCAAATTTTCATAAATGTCAGTTTCACGGTTTACGCTCTAGTAATGTTCCAGCCTCTGGAGCATAGCAATGTCTTTCATGTGTTTTAACCAGCTGATGTCACCAGTCTTGTTTAATTCAATGCGCTAGCAGAATGTTGCATTAGTACACGTTGAGCTTTCACTGAGAAATCAGTGAGGCGAACTCTGATTATGACCTATGGCCACCTACACATACGCAACACTGGCTGGCATCACGCCAGTGAACAGCAAGGGTTAATCATGGTGCTTGTGAAGTCATGTGCTTGTTCAGAAAAAACCTTATAACGGTTCAACATAGTCATTCTGCTGAACTGTCATAAAGTATATACAGTGCCATGAAAATGTTTTTGCCCCCTTCCTGTTTTATTTTTTTGCATATTTCTCACACTTAAAAGATTCAGATCATCAAACTAATTTTAATATTACACAAAGATAACCCGAGTAAATACAAAATGCAGTTTTGAAATAATTATTTCATTAATTAAGGGAAAAAAGCTGTCCGAACCTGCCTGGCACTACGTGAAAAATTAATTGCACCTTAAATCTAATAACTGGTTGTGCCACCCTTTGCAGCAACAACTGCAATCTAGCATTTGTGATAACTGGCAAGCAGTCTTTCACATCCCTGTGGATGAATTTTGGCCCACTCTTCTTTGCAGAATTGTTTTAATTCAGCCACATTGGAGGGTTTTCGAGCATGAATGGACTGTTTAAGGTCATGCCACAGCATCGCAATCGGATTTAAGTCCGGACTTTGACTTGGTCTCTCCAGAACCTTAATTTAGTTTTTCTTGAGCCATTCAGAGGTGGACTTGCTGGTGTGTTTGGGATAATTGTCCTGCCATATAACCCAAGTGTGCTTGAGCTTGAGGTCACAAACTGATGGCTGGATATTCTCATTCAGGATTTTCTGAGAGTGCAGAATTCATGGTTCCATCAATTATGGCAAGTCGTCCAGGTCCTGAAGCTGCAAAGCAGCCTCAGACCATCACACACCACTAGGTGTTTATAATTCACACTATGATGTTCTTTTGTAATTTATATCACAATATATTTATTAATTTCGGTCGATACGATATAATTCCGATAGCAATCGGATTTAAGTCCGGACTTTGACTTGGTCTCTCCAGAACCTTAATTTAGTTTTTCTTGAGCCATTCAGAGGTGGACTTGCTGGTGTGTTTGGGATAATTGTCCTGCCATATAACCCAAGTGTGCTTGAGCTTGAGGTCACAAACTGATGGCTGGATATTCTCATTCAGGATTTTCTGAGAGTGCAGAATTCATGGTTCCATCAATTATGGCAAGTCGTCCAGGTCCTGAAGCTGCAAAGCAGCCTCAGACCATCACACACCACTAGGTGTTTATAATTCACACACCAATAGGTGTCTGTAATTTATATCACAATATATTTATTAATTTCGGTCGATACGATATAATTCCGATATCGATATGAACACTTATTTTAAAAAAGCCTCATAAAAACTGCCAAGAACACCCACAACAGATGTCTGCACATACAAACTTATGAAAAATGAATTTGACAAGTCTTGACACCTCATAAAACCATATAATATTTTAGGGAGAAAAAAAACAGCACAAATAAATGAATGTTCACCTTTTATTTGCATTTAGCCTTCATACAAACAAGAAATGTGAAATCACTGTCAAATAATCGTCTCAGACTCACCTAATTAATATTAATATATTTAACTTCAAACTAGAAGCTAACATACACTACCAGTCAAAAGTTTTTGAACAGTAAGATTTTTAATGTTTTTAAAGAATTCTCTTCTGCTCACCAAGCCTGCATTTATTTGATCCAAAGTACAGCAAAAACAGTAACATTTTGAAATATTTTTACTATTTAAAATAACTGTTTTCTATTTTAAAATGCATTTCATTCCTGTGATTTCAAAGATATATTTTTAGCATCATTACTCCAGTCACATGATCTTTCAGAAATCCTTCTAATATTCTGATTTGCTGCTCAAAAATCATTTATTAATATGCTGAAAACAGCGGAGTAGAATTTTTTCAGGTTTCTTTGATGAATAGAAAGTTCAGAAGAACAGCATTTATTTGAAATAGAAATCTTTTGTAACATTATAAATGTCTTTATCATCACTTTTAGCATCCTTGCTAAATAAACGTATTAATTTATATAATTTCTTTCACAAAAAAAAAATCATACTGACTCCAAGTTTTTGAATGGAATAGTGTATAATGTTACAAAAGCTTTTTATTTCAGATAAATGCTGATCTTTGGATCTTTTTATTAATCAAAGAATCCTGAAATTAAAAAATGCTTAAACTGTTTTAAATATTCATAATTAGCAAATCGGCATATTACAATGTTTTCTGGATCATGTGACACTGAAGACTGGAGTAATGATGCTGAAAATCCAGCTTTGATCACAGGAATAAATTACATTTTAAAATATATTCAAATAGAAAGCAGTTATTTTAAATAGTAAAAATATTCTAAAATGTTACTGTTTTTGCTGTATTTTGGATCAAATAAACACAGGCTTGGTGAGCAGAAGAGAATTCTAAAAAAAACAACAAAAAAAAAACATTAAAAATCTTACTGTCCAAAAACTTTGACTGGTAGTGTAGGCTGATTATTCTTATAGATTGAAACAAATGTGCTTTAGCCAGTATAAAGGGTATGAAAGGTGCTCTGAGTTTCTGCAGAAAAAATAAATAAAGAGCTACAACAAAAACATGTTGCTGGAGACGGGCTTTTAAAAATGCAAACTGCTTGTCTGCCAGCAGGAGGCGCTGTGAGAGCGGTAGAACTAGCGGTTTCTCCAGTAACGGCTGTAATCAAATCAGCTCCTCTCATAAACGCTTCTTTATCTGATAAAATTAAAATGCCATGGAAGCTTTTCTGAAGACAGTCCTTTCCCTTCAGAGATACAATCATATAAAACACCCGCGCCGTGTTAGGATTTTGAAACGTGCAGTGCTCATGTTAAGTCAAACGCCACAAATAAATCAATGTATGGGAAACACTGGTAATGTATATCGAAATATCGGAAATGTGTTTAAAAATCATATCACCATTATTGAAAAAAATTATATCGCAATACATATTGATATTGAATTATTGTCCAGCCCTAGCTGTGTTGGTTTTACACCAGATGTAATGGGACACACACCTTCCAAAAAGTTTTGTCTCATCAGTCCACAGAATATTTGCCCAAGTCTTGGGGATAATCAAGATATTTTTTGGCAAATGTGAGACGAGCCTTTGTGTTCTTTTTGGTCAGCAGTGGCTTTTGCCTTGGAACACTCCCATGGATGCCGTTTTAGCCCAGTCTCTTACTTATTGTTGAATCATAAACACTGACCTTAAAGGTGGGGTAAGCGATTTCTGGTAGCCAATGTTGACATTTGAAATCACCAAAACAAACACGCCCCTACCCCAAAAGGGTCTCACCCCTATTTTGATAGCTCCTCCCCACACATACGTACGCAACCCAGGCAACGATTAGTTCTGTGAAACAAAGCAAAACCAATGTTACACCGTGTCTACACCAGACGCAAGTGGCGCGGCGCGACAAGATACTATAGATCTCATTATAATCAGTGATGCTGTTTACACCATAGATATATATACATATCTATGGTCTATACTGGATGTGGCGCGGCACGACACGACAAATCCCCGACAGAAAACTGCTGCTGCATTCTATTTATGACGTATTGTTCTGTCGCTCGGCTCGGCTAATGTCCGTCTTGTGCATTGAACGCTCTCTCCTCCACATCATGAGTAGACACGCCCCTTACTGCTGATTGGCTACAAGTTTGTTTTGCTACTCAGCCCGAATCAGTTTTCTAAAGCATTTTTGAAAAATCGCTTACCCCACCTTTAATTGAGGCAAGTGAGGCCGTTCTTTAGATGTTGTTCTGGGTTCTTTTATGACCTCCTGGATGAGTCGTCGTTGCGCTCTTGGAGTAATTTTGGTAGGCTGGCCACTCTTGGGAAGGTTCACCATTGTTTCAGGTTTTCTCCGTTTGTGGATAATGGCTCTGACCATGGTTCGCTGTCCCAAAGCCTTAGAAATGGCTTTATAACCCTTTCCAGACTGATACATGTCACCCGGTCTCACGTATTGTAAATAGATTCAAAATCTTAAGATATAGACCTTGTGACAATTTCCCCCTGTGACAAATAGGCCTGATCTCCCCCACACATATTTACAATTATGTTTAAAGTATTGATAATTATACCTATATCTGGGTAATAAGCAGGTTCCTTTGTGACAACAATATAATGTTAAATGAACTCAATTTTTTTCACCGATAAATAAACAGTTAATTTTTCTTCCTTGGCAATAAGCAACTCTTTTGAAGCTATAAGACATTAAAGTCTGTGTGACTGCGTCTATACAGAAACAGTGTTTCAAAAATAAACCAAACAAACAAACAAAATTATTCAGTATAAAAGATTTCAGAGTGTATTGTTACATTGTATTATGAAAAAGCAATCAAAGATTCATTTCAGCGGATTGGCGTCATCGGATGTTTCCTAAATTGTATTTTCAAGAATGTGTTAATGATGTTCATTTTTGGGATAATTAATTTAGGACACAGCTTGGGCATACAATCTGTATAGGGTGCGTCACAGACATAAATTTCACGAGGAGAACAGCATGAACGTGTTTGATCAGATTTGATTTCCCCCACGACAGTAGTAAACCTCCCTCTCTTCCCTCCTCTCTCCTCTCTCCTCTCGTCTGTGCAGCTTGTCTTAGAGGCTCACGGAGCATTGAGGCGACCTGAGCGCGGCGCGCGGGTGGAACAGGACGAGCTTCGCTTAATTAACGGAGCGCGAGCCCTGCAGGAATGCCAGCGAGGCGCTGCTTGGAGAAGGTAGGCGATGCCTTTATTTTCTGTGAGTTTAATGTGACAAAAAAGATGGTAAAATAGATGAGACATAACACAGGCAACATCTTTTCCCGAGTGCTTTCATGCTGACTACTTTGTTTGAGATTGTTAACCAGGAAACGCTTCACTATTCTGTTCGGTGCTGATGTTTACGCGTTGTTCAGCTCTTGAGATGAATTATTACAAGTAGGCTGATTGGCTAAAACGCACTTTTAGGAACATTTCGGTCGTGAAAACGATGTATGACACTGAATACTAAAAACATCAAAAGCAAGTGTTCACCCTTTAACTGAAAATATTTTTCCTACTTAAATATTGTGAATATCGATGATCGACTTTTTCGATGAAACGTGTAGGATAGACTTCGAAATGTTTTATATAATATTATCACACATTATTTGCCTGCTTCACATTAAAGTAGTTTAGAAATGTATAACTTATTTGTAAACAATGTAAATGTCAAGTATAATCAGTGCTGTCGTTACCAGGGTGAATTGTAATTATATGGACTGTATATGGACATTTTAAGTATCGTGCATAAATGTATTATTGAAACGCATAAAACATAACAGACAGTGTGTGTTAGTTACTACAATTGTCAGTTGTGCTAAATATAACCTATACATTATGTCATCTTTGTCCATCCAGTATAAGTACACTGAAACGTGTTGCAACCCTTTCCCATGGTCAGACATTACATTTCTCTCTCTCTCTCTCTCTCTCTCTCTCTCTCTCTCTCTCTCTCTCTCCCCTATTTATGTGTTATATTTTTTAAATTTCATTTCTCTCTCTCTCTCTCTCTCTCTCTCTCTCTCTCTCTCTCTCTCTCTCTCTGCTATGGATGTTATATATTAAAGTAAACAATAGAACCTGGTAGTTCTGTTGATACCAGTTTTGCCATTAACATTTTGACAAATTACACTGACATAAATTCCTTTCCCTCAAAATATTTGTGTTGTATTTAATATTTTCTGTTGTATTTAAAATGAAATGGTTTTATTGCTTATTATATTTTATTGTCTTCCTCGTCATACTGCAGGGATGCTATAGCCAGCATGCTATGAGATGAACATATGAATAGAAGTTCAAATGGCTGATCTTAAAGTCCTCTTTTGTGGTCAAGACGCTGTCCAGACCGATCACCTTGACTGGTCCCTAAAACATCAGCAAAGTCATCACTCAGTGTGTGCAGATGAAAGGGCACTTTCCAATGAAGAGTGCTGCCAGGCGTATCTGGAGGAGAATGTTAATGAGGCGAGCAGGCTTTCAGAACCATGGACAGCGACTCTGCCAATTGGACGACTCTGCAAACTCAATGAATGGGGATTTGATGAAGAAGTTGAGGTATGTTACGATGAGCAGTTTGAAACAGCTTTTCCTGGTGTGGCTGACTTTACTGACCATAAAGACAGTCAGTTGTTAGCAGAGGAGACCAGCTATGACAACTTCAGTTGGAATTCTTCCAAAGATCTCCAAGAAGGCGGGCCAGAATGCTCCCTGCTGTCAGTTGACGATTTCATGGTGGATTCAACGGAAAAGTCAGTGGATTATGGATTTATAGGTGCTGTTACCTTTTTAGTTACTGGGATTTCCTTGGTTGTCATCTCCTACACGGTCCCACGTGACGTCAAGGTAAATCCTGATACCGTTTCTGCCCGGGAGATGGAGCGGTTGGAGAGAGAGAACGCCCAGGTGGGTGCTCACCTGGACAGGTGTGTGATTGCAGGACTGTGCCTCCTCACACTCGGTGGTGTGGTACTGTCAACCCTGTTGATGATCTCCATGTATAAAGGGGAGATGATCAGGAGACAAGCATTTGCTTACTCCAAGCACCAAGCCAGACTCTACGGCTCTATGAATTTTAGAAGTGGCGCAAGCCCGACCGGAGCTCCTTCGCTTTTGTCCCTTGATGAAGATGAAGGTCCTGTTGAAGTCTTAAGTTGAAGCTGAGATCAGCATCTTGACTTGTTATCTCCATATGAAAACATGATCAAAACAGCTTTGTTATACTGTGATCTAGGATGACACACTGTAAAACACAGTTTGTAATACTTAAAAACAATATTGTTAATTTAATAGCATCTAAATTTACCTTTAAACTACAAAATTACTACTTAATTTGAGTCGAATAAACTTGACTACAATGGGTCATAACAACTAAATTAATTTTGAGGATCCAATCAGGATAAAATTCTACACTTTTTGCATTGCATTTAATGGACAAAATGTAACATACCAACATGGACTTGAGTCCTGTTTATGTAAAAAATATATTTGTGTGAGTTTGTGCATTTTTCCAAAACATATGTTCATGTAAATATACAGCATGCTTTACAAGTGCAGTTATATACGCCTCAGTTTTTTTTTAGTATGTAAAAAACTATCATAGGATCATTCGACTAACTTGCCAAATGTACAACTGTGTCCTATTTAGCCAGTCTTCACATTGGAAAAGAAAAAGGCTTTTTCCTTCTTTTTTTTGGGCTTGGCTTGGCAGTCAATGTCTGATAGCTGACTTAATCATCAGTCATTGTATGAAAACCTCTTTCCAATCAGGTGGGACAGAGATTTATTCCAATGCCTCTGAAGCCTTTTAAATCTATATATTTGCATTCACATTTGCATAAAAATACACACGATAAACAGCTTTGCAACAGCACAGGTAACGTGAATGCGCACCAAGGAGGTCTGAAGTAAATTTTGTGAGCTTAGTTTATTTAGAGAATATCTGTGCTTTTAATGCACATGGGATGTAGGAAATGTGTGAGCAGATGTCTCTCTCTCTTTCTCTCTCATCATTGTGCCCGCGTACTAGAGGAGTCTCATGGGAAATGACTGCTCCATGTTTCTCCTTCCCAATAGCAGCTAACCCCATTAGAGTCACTCATCATAACACGTAATGACCCGAAAGAACAGAATCCAGAATGCAGACCGCAGCAAAAGGCGCATAAAAGCATGGTGTAGGTTCTCATCCCCCAAAGCACAAGCTGTCAGAAACAAGTAAAGAGAATTAACCTGAAACAGGCTAATATTTAAGTCAGACAACAAACCAATTCCACAAGGTTAAAATCACATTGTTAAAGAAATAGTTCACCCAAAAATAAAAACCGAAGATTATTTACTTATTCCAAAATTTACATGACTTTATTCCGTCTGCAAAAGAATATTTTGAAAAACTGTTTTTGTGAATACAATAGAAGTCAATTGGGTCCAAATGAAAAACACTGAGTGGATAGAAAATGAGAAGTTTTTGATTAAGATATATTAATTACTTCTTTTGTGTTCTGCAGAGCGCACTTAAAAGTAAAGGTGCTTCATTGGCATTAATGGAACTTTTTTATTCTTTATAGTGGAAAAATGGTTCTTTTAAGAACTGAAAGGTTCTTTGGTTTGGAACAACAAAGATGACTAAATGATCACAGGATTTTAACAACAAAGCAAAATCTAGGCATATAAGCCTCAGGTTGCAGGTCAAGGAAAAAATGTGCCCATGAGGCTTTGAGCAAGCAGTAGGCTCTGCTGGCGCTTCTGCTGAGGAGAGCGGTCCGTAAACGCTTACCGAGGGCCGGATCAGATTATCCCTCACTATACACCAGCACTGCAGCAAAGATTCCTGGCACCAGTGTTCTTTTCATCCCATTTCTTCATGACAGCACACACACGAGTGTTTTAACAGCCCCTCGAGTGTCTGTTTGCATGAGAACACTTACTTAAGTGTATCGTTATACGATTCAACAAATGCTTGTAGAAAATTGCAGCTATTAAATCTGCATGCTTCTAACATCACCTGTGGTTTTAATAAAGCTTAATGGTTCACCGTAAAACAAACTCAGAATTATGCTTTTGATATGGGTGAAGACTGATAGAGGGGGGTTTTGGAGAGGAAGATGCATATGTTTTTATATGTCATGAATTTTTAGGTTGCACACAGCGGTGTGGATGGCAATTAATCAAATGTCAACAATGCATGACCACGTCTATTGAAATAAGAACTGATTTATATGCCATTTTTCATTCTCTGGCTGTCTCCATCTCTTTTGTTTCTTTTTTTCTCTGTCTAATACTCTCTAACAGCACTCTGTATAATAACTCAATCACTTAGGGCCGCTGGCATCAGGAAATGGAGCTAAATTGATTAACGGGTCAGTATGGGTCAGGGAGTGGGTGTGGACATCGTCGCGAGGGACAAAGATACGGTCAGTGTGTGCACATACACACAATACAACTCATAGCTGTGCCATATCATAAATTGCCTGTGGCGCAGTGACATCCTAACATATCATCTCGCTCTATTCTTCAGATAAAAAACCGGCCCAAGCTGGTCTGAGTGTAAAGATGGCATTAAAATGAAGTCCAGTCCAGACTGTGTGAGATACAGATGGAGTTGCCAGTTATATGTCACGTAAGTGACCCATCCGTCAGCTCATCCATTCTGCTGTTTTCTTTACTGCTTGGTCTAATTATTCATCATTTGGACATTCCTCACTTTTCGTGCTGTTTACTGGCCTGTTCAACAAAATGACTCTTGTTACCTAGAGTTTGTTGCATAGCAACAGTAAAGATAAAATGTGCAAAAAGTCAGCACCCATGAAGCGAAGGATCTCCGGTGAAAAGGCAGTAGTTCATCATTCATCGCTTTAATTTGGAAGCTCATTGTGTATCAGGGAGACCAAAGAATGAAGTCAGCAGCCTTAGTCACAAGGCTACAGGAAACAGAAAGTCGGGTTGCTGCATAGTAATGTAGCAGGCATGCTTATTTCAATGGGATCTGAATTTATGACACTGCAACGTCAGTTTCTCAAATTAGGTGGCGGAAATAAAGGCACCTTGGGGAAAAAACACAGTGCTCTATAGATAATTTCTGGGACCCTCACTGTGCCTTGTTGATGATGTATTACTGTGACCTACTGCGGTAGAGAGTTTTGCAGAAGTTCAGCATTATAATAATAAAGATTTTTATGGTTTTGAGTGGCTTTTAGCACACTGCCATGCAGGAATTGCTTCCCAATTCATAAAAATCCACCCCCAAGATTTGTATGATTTCTTTTTTTTTTTATTTAAATTGATTTATTTTCCTGCAGGTGAAAACTACCAGTTTATTCAGATTTTACACATTACTTAGAGACAGAAGCTTTGATAAATTATGAGCAATAATGAATAAATTATATTTAATAATGCTAATTACGACCAATAACATGTCTAAGCCAGTTAGGATAATAATATCCCATTTGTGCAATTGTGACGTGCTTTAATTGTAACGATTCTCCACTATTGATGCCAGAACTCCATAGCAGTGGGTCATGAGTCAATAAAAATGGAGCTTTTCTTTTCAGTTCTGCCAATACTATTTTCATACTTAGATGGTGAAGATGTTAGGGGCACTGAGCAACAACCTTTCCAGAATCATTTCTTTAACCGTATTCTTCGGGTAATGAGTCCCATGAGAGATGTGGCACTTTTCACATGCCAGCACAGAAAAAGTGGAGTTGGGGGTGTCAGGTGATGCTTAAACAAAAGAAACGTACCTTACAAAAGACATCAACGATGCAAAAAGCGAAGTCACATCACTTTCTTTCTGTGAAAAGAAAAAGTATGTCAGAGCAAGTACTTTTCAACTATTAAAATTCATGTTGAACTTCCTGCGAAAATCCTGCGAGCATTTGTGTGTCTGTTTCACCAACAGTGAACGGCTCACCTCGTTGACTTCCTGTGCCTGTCGTTACGCAGTATACAAATGGATCTGCAATGATTGGTCGGTAAGTTAATGAGAGCCAGCTGGAATCATGTTTGCATCGCCCACACAGCAGTGTCCCTTTCTCTCGCTCTCTCCTGTCCTGTTAAGGGCACATATCCATAGAAACCAAGTTTCCCTTGTTGTTAAGGAAAGAACCCTGCTGAGGTTTGAATATGTGTAACAGCAATTATGAAGTCAATACTGCTGAGGTTTGCTGCTGAGTTAACGTAGTCTAACTTTGTGTTTCTAATTTAAAGCCTCAAAGAAAACAAGTTCTGGTTGTTGTTTTCCATCCATTACGAAACAGTGCTAATGGCGTAAATGATGTTTTCCCCCCTGAAACTGCTTCTACGGTTTACCAGAGACTGAATTAAAGTGGGGAATTGCTTTGGAGAACTCATTAATGTGCATATGGACTCTAGACAGTGATGGATGGCGCACAATATTGGAGACAGTGAGGTCTTTTCGGCTTTTTATGAACAGGCCAGGTGAACTGTTAGACAATATGTGCAAATCATTCTCTTTTATGCGGTGAATGAAAAGTGCTGACACATGACATTATCATGTTGGGAGTTTCAAAAGCGGAGCATGTGGGTGGACGTTTGCATCAGAAGGGGAACTTCATAACCTGCACCCCATAATTCTGCGAGATGCATAATTTAACACTGAGAGCAAAGTGAGATTAATCTCGCTGTGGGAAAGCTTTACTTACTTTCTTTTGATTTATGCTGCTATTATGCTTCATGCTAGGTTCATCTCAGGATTTGTCAATAAGGCTGGAGGCAAGAAGATGAGAAGTTTCCATTCAGTATTGATCTCGTTTTTTAAGTGCTCAGAGCACAGGAACTGAAAGTCTTAAACACCAGAGTGTTTATGACCTGTCTTTCCTGACACATTGCTGGGTTTCACAATACTATAAAATATATTTAGGTATGATAAGAAATAAATGTTAGTAGAAAGACAAATAAGTCAAATGAAGGCTAATATTAATTTCATGTTTCTTTTGAATAGCATTGAGAATAGGTATCTATTATTACACACTGTCATAACAAAAACAACTCAGCAAGTCCCCTGAACCTAAAGTATGTGTCACAGTAGCTGTTTTCAGTTCACAATGTTCCAAATCCGTTGGAAGTTGTGCAAGCTCATGGAGTAGCTACGTCAGAAAAAGAGCGGGACATCCATTGATCATTTATCGTCGGCAGCTTGAAGCATAGTGCTGTGCCACATCCAGTGTAGATCAAGACTGGTTCTATTGGCTTTTGACGTGACTCTACACAATTC